TGAGACAGGGTCTCACTGTGTAGTTGAGACTGACCTGGAACTCACTATGTAGCTCAGGTTGGTCTCGAACTCACAGCAATCCTCCTGCCTCAGCCTCCTGAGTGCGGGGATTACAGGCGTGCACCACCACACCTGGCTTTGAATTCTTTCTAATTAGTTTAAAAATTTCAAAGTTGATAAGACAAATGAGTTGTAAACTGTTAACACTCGTGGCACATGGAAATGTCCCATACCTGGTAGAATTATCTTCCTCATGTCAGTGTTGTGTAAGCGTTATTGAGACATAAAAGTTATTATTGTGTTGTTTTTTTATTAAGAGACAGGGTCTCCCTGTATACTTCTCGTTGGCCTCGAACTCACTATGTACCCCAGACTGGCCTTGAATTCGCAGTGATCCTCCTGCCTCAGCCTCCCAAGTGCTGGTATTACAGGCGTGTGCCACCACGCCAGGCCTGATGTTTCAGTATTTAAATCAGCTCAAATAAAGTGTCACTAGACATATTTACAGGAGAAAAAGCCCTGCCAGATTTATTAACATGTGTGAGTGTGGGAGCCATAAAAAACGTGAAATCTCAAAGTGCCATACAGTTGAAGCTTGAATGTAGAGGAGAGGGAAGTGGAGGGTGGAGGCAATTTTAGAGCTGCAGTAAATTATTTTTATGACAAACAGTGGACCCAGAAAGTAGACAAGGTAAAGTTCCTGTTGGCTCTAGGCATGGTGTTTGGTTTTCATTCTCTGCCTCTTATGTGCGTTTAATCCTTCTTAGCTAATGAAATTTCAACAATAATATTGAAGGCAATTATGTTCCTCTGGTACATTCAATCTTTAGATAGATAAGGAATGTTTCTTCCTATACCTGAGAAGCAAAATATGATCAAAAGAAAGGAGCAGTGACGGGGATGTTAGAGACACCTTCAGCCTGCTTTAGTTCACTTGGTCAAAACAGCGTATTTTTGAGTGCACCAATTCCCCCCAATGCACATAATCATTATGTACTGCAAACGTATACTAATAATTTTTTGGGGGTACCAGGAATCGAACCCCGGCCCTTTCATTTTTATTTTTAAGAAATTTTATTAGTCGGGCTGGGGATTTAGCTCAGTGGCACCACGCCTGCCTCACGAGCGCAAGGTCCTGAGTTCAATCCTCAGTATCACAAAAAAAAAAAAGAAAAGAAAGGAAAAGAAAAAGACAGAGAGAGAGAAATGTAATGAAAGATGGCTTTTATCTCTGAGGTATGATCAAAATATACAGCGAATGTTTAAGTTTTTGAAAATGTATTACAATAAAAGATGCATTGCCATTAACCTCTCAGAATACTCCCCTTTGATTTGAACACACTTAGTCCATCATTCTTGCCACTTACTGAATCAGTTCTGAAAGTTCTCTTCCACGAAGGTCTTTACGAGCTGTGATAAATAACATGGTGAGGGTCGCGGATTTAGTTCAGTGGTGCCGCTGCCTGCCTTGCAAGCACAAGGTCCCAAGTTTGATCCCTGGTGCCAATAATAATAATAATAATAATAATAATAATAATAACAATAACAACAATAATGTGGTGAATGCTGCTGCCAAGTGCCATCTCATGTAAATACAGGTTTGTAAAAGCACCACACTATGTCCTCACCCACTTTATTCGCTAGATTTAGCACTGTGTGGCTTCTGGCTCTTCCCTAAAGTCAAATGATCATGAAAGGTAAATGTTTTGAATTGACTCAGGACATCAAGGCTGCTATGACCACACAACCAATGACATGAGAAAGCATTTCCAGAACTGCTTTAGACAGTTGCAGTACCAATGGGATAAGTGTGTTCAAACTGAGGGGGAATTTGAGGGGGATTAATGATAATGTGTCTTTTATTGCTACAAATTTTTTAAAAGGTAAGCATTCACCATATTTTTCAATCACACCTCGGAAAAAGAACAAACATTGTCTTCTTTGCTTCCATTAGGAATGATGATGGCTGTTTCCGTCTCAGAAAAGGATTGCATCAACTTTGTGGAAATGAAATTTATTGACAATATACTTTACTTTATACGTAAGTCTGAAGCAATAGTAGGACAAATACAGGGCTTAGATAAATATATTCAATTAGAAAGGGTTGTGTGGTAAACTATGAAGTGACTTCTTTTTGTCATGAAATTCTATTATAATATTAATGACTCTCTTCTTTGAGGAAAAAAATTGAACCTCAAATTAACCATAACATTTCCAAGATCCCAACACTGTCCCAGCAGATTGCCTTGGTACTTAAATTAGCAGTTGCTCATTTCAATGTAGCAGCAGGCACACACGATGAAAATCCCACAAAACTGGGTACACTGAGGAAATACTAGACTTCAAAGCAAACTGGCAAGTTATATGAGCTAAGCTAAAGCTAGAGTTCTATGAGTGAGTTATATCATTTATGTAAATGTATTTGACAAATAAAAATTTATTCTTATGATTAATCTTCCACAGGCAACTTGACTTCACTTGAAAGCACTGTAAAAAATCCTTAAGTGACTTTCCATGTAGACAATAAATTTAAGGGTAAAAATCTATCACTTTACAAAACTTCTTTTTGTATTAAAATTTATAAACCCTGGATTTAAGTTTTATATCTAACTTATCTGAGAACACACTAAGTCTAAATTTAGAGTTTTATTTTATGGACCTTTGGATGATTATATAACATTTTCTGATAAAGGCTAACAAAGGACCTAACTGCTAAACAAGGGTTAAAGAAGGGGCAGTCGCAGAAGTAGCGAAAAGATAGAGAAAAAGAAGAAATTTTGGGTTGAAATATATATATATATATTTTAATATATTTTGTTTCTTTTTTCCCTCCATAGCTGCAAGTGATGGTAAAGTATAAATGCATTTTTCTTTCCTTATAAAGTAAGTAAGTAGCCACATGAGAAACATCCATATTGCCACTGTCAACTGGGAGAAACTGCCACATGACACCAACCTATCTGGGAAACCAGTTTTCTGTCAAAGGAATATGGACTCAATAACACAGCATTGGAATGAAGATGACCATATGGGTTATGAAGAAGAAACTGTATAAAATTGCTCCCTCCTACCTTAGGAAGCTGCCTAGCTTGCAGGCACTACAAGATAGACCTTGCAAAACAGGTCTCAGATGAGCAGAAAGCCATGGATTTTCTGGAGATCTAGGAAGACATTGACTTATGAAAATTGTCCAAAATCAGTATCTCCCTTCTCTTCACTCCTGTCTCAGAAATGCTTTGGAACAAAGTCTGAGAGGCTCCTATAGGCAGAGTATTCTGAAAGTTAAGGACATAGGGATGGGATTTAAACCCAAGATACAAAAGAAAACATGGCATGTACGAGGAACTAAGAGTAATATGGGACGGGTGTAGAGGGAGGGGAGGAAGAGAATGATAAGAGAAGCTAGACTAATAAATAGGGTACAGGTCAAGATGTTCTCTTATTCTAGGATAAGGAATGTGGGCCTTATCTTGGGAGAAATAGGGATTTGCTAAGTATAATATGTCTGAGCTAGGATACAGATTAGTTTGCTATAACAAAGATATCTAAAAATACAGTATCTGCTGGGCGTGGTGACACACACCTGTAATCCCAGCACTCAGGAGGCTGAGGCAAGAGGATCGCTGTGAGTTCGAGACCGGCCTGGGTTACATAGTGAGTTCCAGGTCAGTCTCAACTACATAGTGAGACCCTGTCTCAAAACAAACAAACAAACAAAAAAATAGTATCTGAATAAGACAGAAAATTTCCATCCCCAGTAGTCCAAGTAAGCAATCACGATGAATACAGCTGGTGATATTAGAATCTCCTGATTCTTCTTTGTAGTTACTCCATCATCATCCCCTAGTTGCGAAACTCACGCACATAGTTGAAAATCATCTGGGCAGGGGGTGTGGCTCATGGGTGCCACCACCTGCCTCACAAGTGCAAGAACCAGAGTTTGATCCCAGGTACCAAAAAAAAAAGAAAGAAAAAGAAAATCATCATACTTTCTGGATCTATATTTCACTTTTCAAGAAAGGGTCAAGAGAAGAGGGAAACGTCAGGATCCATTCCATTTGAAGTCTCTACTTGGGACGTTGTACATATCTAGTCTGCTCATATCCTCTTGACTAGTCATGTGGCCAACAGCAAGGAAATTTGGAAAATATAATTTTTAGCATGTATTATTGGTAAATTATTACAACTTCTGTTAGTAATTAATCTTTAATGATTTTATCTTCAAAACTGAACCAAAGGGTGTGTTTTAAAACTGCTAAATGTATAGCATCAAGGTAAATTTTTTTCTATTAAGTTTACTGGTACATTTAAAGCAAACAATACAGTTACATTTATCATAGGGATCTTGTACCTTTACATGATGTATCTTGGTTCTTGTTTCTTCCCCATACCCCTGCTGTCTCTTCACCCCCTTCACCCTTCCCTATTTACAAAGACTTTGTTTCCATTTTTTCGTTTTTTCGCAGTTTTTCTTTCCCTTATTTCCTTGCCCCCCCCCTTCCCACTATGGCTAAAGGGGAAGTGGGAAAATATAATTTTTATTCTGGGTGGCCATATGTCTCATTAGAATCCAGGAACAACATGATCATATTTTTAAAAGATCCTTGTGGAATTGTATAAAGAATTGCTGGTTGGACTGGGGATTTAGCTCAGTGGTGCTGCACCTGCCTCACAAGCACAAGGCCCTGAGTTCAGTACCCAGTATCAAAAAAAAAAAAAAAAAAAAAAAAAAAAAAAAAAAAAAAAGAATCGATAGCACAAGGTAAGGAATGAGGGGACAAAAAAAAAAGAGGATACCCATTAAGAGACTATTATTTTACCTGGGCATGGTGGTCCCTGCGTGTAATCCCAGCACTTGGGAAGCTGAGGAGGCAGGAGAATCACTGTGAGTTCAAGGCCAGTATGCACTACATAGCGAGACTCTGTCTAAAAAAAAAAAAAAAGGAGCAACTATTATTTCAGTACCTATAAGAAATGATGCGGGGTGATCATTAGGAGCTGTGGATTCATTCTAGAAATACTCGAAAGAATCAACAGGACATGATTTGGACTTAGATTTGGAAGAGAGTGTAGAGGAAAGCACAACAGGTGATGTCTATATTTTTCACTTATCCCAGTTTGTACCACTCAGTGGAATAGAAGACACAGCAGAAAAAGCAAGTTTTCATATGTAAAGAGAGGAACAAGTGAAAAATTTAGTTTAGGGTCTTGAGACATTGAAGTGGAGATGCCCAGTAAACTCTTGGATATACGGTTCCCAACTCAGGACAGATTTTGCCTGAAGACATATGTAAAGGCTTATGCATAAAAATGGCATCTGAAGCTATGAGAATGAAAAGACAAATTGGGAAATATATACAGTGAGAGTAAAAAAGCCCAGGACTAAACTCTGAAAAATACCAACAGTTAATGCAGTGGAAAAGAAAGTTAATTTTTTAAAAAGCAGACTAACCAGAGGGAAGAAGAAAAAACAAGAGAATATTATTACAGATTCCCAGGAGAATGTTTCAAGATGGAGGTAAAAGGCTCTGTGTTAAATCTTGCCACTTTGAAATTCAAGAGCCAAAAAGCATCTACTAGAGTTAGCAGCAAGGAGTTGGGTGGTCTCAGTGAAAGCATTTTGATGGAGAAACGGAGGCAAAGGCAAACTGCAATAGTAGTGAAGGGAGAGTACAGAAGCAGTACACATCTCTCTTGCTCCAGAAACTTGGCAAATCAAAGAGGAAAACAGGCTATGCACTAGGCTGGGGTTCATAGGGAAGTTTCAAATTTCAAAGAGCTTAATACTTTTCTGATTATAAAAACTTTCTCACTGAAATTAACTCAGACATAGATGATGATAATGAAGAAAAATAAAAATAAAGAATGCCCGCTATCATTTTGATGTAACATTTATATATGTTTATGTATAGATGTACAAATATTTATATTTTTGTTAAAAAGGATCATGCTATACCTAAACTTCTTTTTGTTGTTGTTGTTGTTGTTTTTTGAGACAGGGTCTCACTATGTAGTTGAGACTGACCTGGAACTCACTATGTAGCTCAGGTTGGTCTTGAACTCACAGCGATCCTTCTGCCTCAGCCTCCCAAGTGCTGGGATTACACCAGGCCCAACCCTTAAGCATTCCTGATAAAAATGTTTGCACATGTATCTGGCTGTTTCTTTTTTTTTTTTTTTTTTTTTTTTTTTTTGTATTGGGGATCGAACTTGGGGCCTTACACTTGTGAGGCAAGAGGCAGTCTGATTGTTTCTTTAGGATAAAATCCAGGGAGTAGAATTGCTGGGTTGATAGAGGAAAAGGGATGGACAGCAAAAGAAGGTCTCAGTAGAGGATACATGCAGTAGACAAACGGGACGAGCCTTAGATATCACAAGGGATACCTTTTTGACATTTCCCTTTAGGAAAAGAAACTTAGAGGAAACAATTGATGATGATAAGCTTTGCAAGTAAAACAGCAAGAAATAATTTGCTGCCACGGATGGTGGCACATGCCTGTGATCCCAGAACTCAGAAGGTTAAGGAGGAGCATTGCCATGCATTGTAGGCCAGCCTGCACTACATAGTGAGACTCTGTCTCAAAAAGAAGCAGGGAGGAATGAAGAAAGGAAGGAAAAGAAAAAAAGAGAATTTGCTGAAAGTGAAAATAGAGATGATGGTATAGGAGTCCTGAAGAAAAAAAAAGACTTGAAATTGCAACTACAAACTATGGAAGGGAGTGATATAACTGGAAAACAGTATTGACAGTTGATGTGCTTTAACATTTGTATAATTGCTGATCCAGCAACATTCATCAGCTAGATTTGGAGTTTTTCTCATGGACAGATAAATGAAATAGGGATTTAAGATACTGACAGATAAAATGAACCATGAGGTTCAGCTGCACAGAGAAGGAAAGGAAGACAGATTAGCTAGGGAGGAAAAATGCAAAAGTCAGGAGATTAAAGACAATGATGTCTAAGAATATTTATAGCTGCAGTAAAAGCATAAGAAAAAAACTAGAGGACTGGTCAGAAAGTAGGATATTTGAAGTGAACATTTCCAAGGTAGAGCAGTTCTGAGAGGTAACAAGAAATAGATCATTCCCTTGGAAGCTGGTTAAAAAACAGTAGGCAAAGTCTACTGGTAGCACACACCTGTAATCCCAGCACTCAGGAGGCTGAGGCAGGAGGATCACTGTGAGTTCGAGACCAGCCTGGGCCACATAGTGAGTTCCAGGTCAGTCTCAACTACCTAGTGAGACCCTGTCTCAAACAACCAAAAAAAAAAAAAAGTAGGCAACTTGATCATAGCTACTTCAGGAACAGAAGACTGTAATTAATTAAGAGCTGTTTAAAACTGAACTCTATAGTTGTCTATTTGTATATTTTGAAAGAAACATTTTTAATGAAATTTAATGTTTATTGTAGAAAACCTGGAATCAGATTACTTTGGCAAACTTGTACCTAAATTGTCAATCATACGAAATTTGAAAAACCAAGTCCTCATTGTTAACTGTGAGAAGCAACCCGTGTTTGAGGACATGCCCGATTCTGATATAGCAGGTGTGTTTTTTTATACTTATTCATGTACATTCATAGATAACTGGCTACTTCTTTCTTTTCTCTTTTACTGCCTACACTTTTCCATGTCAGAACCAATACATGGATGAAAAATCATAGGCATAATAATTTCATTTTAAAAACTTTCTAAGTGTCCATTATTTTTAATTAGAGTAAAAAAATTAGCTCTAGTAAAGACATTTCTAGAGGTCGTGTCACTGTGAACCTACCTTTAGATCACCAATACCTTTATTTTCATTTCATTAACTGTGTATGATCTCTATAAAGTTGGATTCTTAATCTCTGCTGGTTATAGCTGAAAATACTGATAAAAATTTTTAAACCACAATTAATAATAAATACACAATATTTCAAATGAGTCTGCCTTCCTCCAGAAATTAGAATGTCTTAGAAAATGAGTAAGTTCACTATGCCTCCCAAAGTATGAAGTACAAATATCAGAGTTTGGGGCCTGGTTGAAGAAGTGAATGCACATTTTTTTTTTCCGGTACTTGGGATCGAACTCGGGTCCTTGCACTTGCGAGGCAGGAAGCTGAACCACTGAGCTAAATCCCCAGCCCTGTGAACGAACATTTTTGAAAAATTCTTGAATTCTATTTCTGACTAGGCATTGTAGGCTTTCACACTGAGCTATGTTATAAGCCCCTTTCTTTTTTTAATTTTTTACTTTGAGACGGGTCATACTGTTACTCAGGCTAGACTCAAACTCATGATCCTCCTGTGTCAACCTCCCAGAGTGTTAAGATTACAGGCAGGCTCCACCATGCCCAGCTCTTCACAAATATATTTTTAAATATTCTATTAGCATTCAAAAATTAAAGATAGAGCTGGAGATATAATTCAGTGGTAGAGTGCCTGCCTAGCATACATGAGGCCCTAAGTTCCATTCCCAATGCTACAAAAAAAAAAAAAAATCAGACATTTTTAAAAATTCAGAATATTTTTCACACACTCAAAAATTTGCTGCATATGTGTTGTAACACAAAAATGTGTTTTAAAGAATGTCCACCGTACCTGCCTCACAAGCTCAAGGTCATGAGTTCTATCTCTGGTACAAAAAAGAATGTCCAGCAAGCTACACATAATCTTCTGCTGTCCAGCCAAATAAATCTCAGAGTGTGAGATTGGCAGCAGGTGTATTAATGATTATCCTTTCATTAAATTTCCACAGATATTGGCTTGTACAAATTCTACTAAGTAGCAGTCTCTCTTGTTAATATTTATTTCAGGTAATGCACCTCGGACTACTTTTAACAAATATACATATACAGATAGCTGTGGTAGAGGTATGGCTGTAGTAATCTCTGTGATGTGCAATGGAAAGCATACGCTCTCCTGTGAGGACAAAACCATTTCCTTTAAGGTAAGACTGGGCCTTACTTTGCCTTTATTCAAATTAATGGGAAAAAATTAGACAACCCAATATCTTCAGTAGTTCAATCTTTTAGCTAGAACACAGCAAGGAACAAAGGACCACATAAATGGATAGTTATGAAAATCTTCCAAACTCTTTAACCTACAAAGTAATATGATTTTTCTGAGCCTGCTGCAGACAAGAAACACACTTGTCTCATAACCTGAGTCTGCTGAATAATAAGTCTATATATAAATAATAGTATAGTATTTATGTAAATTTTATTTATTTAATAACATTTGACTTTCCAGAACAAGTCGTTCTACATAAAATAAAGCTAACTGTCCTATAAATATTTTACATTGCAAATTATAATCATATTAAGGGCCGGGCATGGTGGCGCATGCCTGTAATCCCAGCACTCGGAAGGCTGAGGCAGGAGATTCGCTGTGAGTTTGAGACCAGCCTGGGCTACATAGTGAGTTCCAGGTCAGTCTCAACTACATAGTGAGATTCTGTTTCAAAAAACCAAAAAAAAATTATAATCATATTTTAATCTCTAGTTGTTTTGTTCTTGCTTTTCAGCCTAAGTCTTAGCCACATCCTTCAGATTTTAGTTGATGTATATTATTATAAAATTAATCTAATTAAATAAAATCAACAAATTCAGCTATAAAATAATGCTATCTCAAAGCTAAGTATAAATTATGTCTGGCCACTGTTTTTTTCTCTTTTATTTTCTATGTTCTGCATTGTTGTTAACTATAGCTACAGGCTGACCCAAAAAACTTTCCTCCCAGTAAGAGCAGCCAGGGGAATGCCCACAGATTGACAAAGCTTACAAGGAAAATCTCATGTGATGAAGATTATGTCTGAGCAGGGATTTGCCAGTTAGGAACTAATGTCTGAATCACCAGCCCTCACTGAAAGGAAGCTGGGGTATGACTTCAGTGGAGATAACCAAGCAACAACTTGGGAGGGACAACAACAAGCCACTCTAAAATATTAGTCTCCATTGCATTAATTTCTGCTCTGATCTTTACAATTTCTTTGTATGAGTTTTGGGTTTAATTGCTCTTCTTTTTCTAGAAACTTGAGGTTCAACATTAGGTTACTTGAGCTCACTCTGTTTTTCTGATATGGGAATTCACCACTATAAATTTCCCTCATAGGACTTCTTTCCTTGTGTCCCATAAGTTCCAGTATGTTGTATTGGCATTACCATTTAATTGTAGAAACTGTCTAATTTCTTTAATTTCATCTGTGACCCATTGGTTGTTCAGGAGGGTGTTATTCAATTTCCATGTGTTTATTAAATTCTTGTGGTTTCTTTTGCCATTGATTTCCAGTGTCATTGCACTATGGTCTGATAATATGCACTGGATAATTTAAATTCCTTTGCATTTACTTAGGCATGTTCTATGAGCTAGTATGTGGTCTATTTTGGAGAACGTCCCATGTGCAGCTAAGAACAATGTGTGTTGTGGGGTAGAACACTATGAACATCTACTAAGTCCATTTGTTCAAAAGTTTGGTTCAGTTCTGATATTTCTTTATTGATTTTTTTTGTCTAGTTGTTCTATTTCTGACCGTAGGGTACTGAGGTCCCCCATTACAACTGTATTAGTGCTTGATTTTTCATGTCCATTAATATGTTTTTACATAGTTGGGTGTGCTAGTATTTAGTACATATATATTTATGATTGTTATTTCCCTTTACAAGGATGTTGTAACCTTCTTTGTCTTTCTTAGTCAGGCTTAAAACCCACTCTAAAATATAATTCAAGTGATAACAGTACAAATACAACAGATACAGCCTCCAGACAAATCTCTTTGCTCTTTCCTTCTAACTTGGGTGCCAACTCTACAGGGTGCAATTTGGAATCCCTGTTCTAGATCTGATAGGGAGGAAATTTAGTTGGGAGAAATAGTGAGAATGTTAATCAGGTTGAAATAATGCATGGAATGTTCTAAGAATTGGGACAAATCCAGATTTAGGGAAACCTGAAGCTTATATAGTTTTGGTGACCCTTTTAAAGAAAGAGAACATAAAATTACCAGCAGCATAAACTCTACAACTTAGCTGAAATTTTTTAAAAGAAGGTCTTAGGAGAGACCTGTGAAAGTGAGTAGCTCCAACATTAGAGCTTAATCAGCTTTATAGCAAATCTACTTCTAGAAGGAACTCAGTAAATATTATTTAGATAAATGGAAAGAAAAGAGTAAGGAAGGAAGGGAGAGGGAGAAGAAAAGAAGAAGGCATAGGTTAAGACTAGTATTAGCACCTGCTCTTCAACCGTTTTCCTCTACAAATAAGACCTTAGCAGTGGTTACCTTAGACTAGGTTCTAGATGATAAGACACAACTCACTGCCATTCTCAGCTCATCTTTCTGTGTTAATTACTACTGATAAATTCTTCATCACAGCCTGAAGAAGGCTTTGCTGTCAGTGTCTGTTGCTCACATGTGCATCAGGTTTGGCCAATGTTCTCCCACACTTTGTAATGCAATTGGGAGAGGGCCAAAAGAGCAGATATTAAATCAAGATTAACTCCAAGTCCAGATTCAACCCTTCCTTATGTAAATATCCTTCGTCCTTAGAGTACTGAAGTTTCACAAGGTAGGGCTTTCCAAACTGCGTATTTTTCAAGGCCACCAGAATTGTTACCACACATCTGTTTGTTATGTATGGCTTTAAGTAGCCAATACCAAGACTAAGGAAAACCCCCAGGGTTTTCTGGCTTCGATTCTGAAATATAACACTAAACTAAGACTAAAGAGATCTCCTATTCTACCTATCCATACTCTCACTTTCAACTATAGCTTTCCATGTTAGGCTAGATATAACAGATTCATTTCCCCCTGTAAAATTATGAGAGCTTTTGACATTTTGGCTAAGGGTTATTTCTCATTTATACATTAGGCCCCAACTTAGTCCCAGATAGACTCCTACAGCTTGGTGTTTTCCTAAAGTGTGGTTTATTGTACACAGCTTCAGAAGTAGATGCCACTGGGGAAACTAGTTTGTACTGTCATCAACTCAAGGACCTACACTTATAGGCAAAGGAGTGAGGTCAGGAGTTATGACTATCAATTCTATAATGAAGGTGGAGGTGCCTCCAAGGGTCTTTCAGGCATCTTAGGAGAGAATTGAATGCTATTTTAACTCTGGAAGTTTGTCAGTCCTCAAAATAATAGGAATCTTTGCCATCATGGGGTCAAAGTTAAGTTCAAAATGTCTTCTGGTTCCAGGATTAATATAGAAGAGCTGTGGGAAGTTCCCACATTTTGTAGTCCATCCTGAAAAGTAGACATGATGGGATAAAAGAATGTGTAGCACCTAGATTACAGTTTCAAGTAGTCTAACCATTCTTCACAACACTGTGTTCTGTAGTTGAATAATACAAGAATCAGTTTTTGGCCTTTCAGGATAGAGCCTAGCCAAGTAGACTACAGTCAGGACAAAAATTCAAGACTACTCTGAGCTGGCACGCTTGGCAGGGAGACAGATTTAAGGGCTACTGACTGAGCCAGCATAGCAGGACTGTATTGGAACCTAGAACTCAGCCCTAGAAGAACTGTTGGATTTACTGAGTCTAAGTTTTAGTTCCAGATGCCACTGAAAGGAGCTGAGATTCATAGCATTTCTGGCCTCTCTCACAGCTGACTCAGAAACTAGAGCTGCCTAGATTTATGGGAGAGGATCCTCAGTGTCTTTAGCTGTGAATGGTTGGATAAGGCAGTAACTGACATTAGCCCAAAGAGGCTGTGGTCTTTGGTAGAACTCCTCTTCCTCGTGAGTAGAGTGGACTCTCATTTACTCTCTTTACAGCAGTATACCTCTAAATGTCCTTTTAAAATTAGGTAAAGTTTTTTGTTTTGTTGTACCGGGGATCGAACTCAGGGCCTTGCACTTGCAAGGCACTCAGTGGAACCTCTGAGCTAAATCCCTGGCCCAGGTAATGTTGTTTTTTCTTTCTAGGAAATCAATCCTCCTGATAATATCAATGACACAAAAAGTGACATCATATTCTTTCAGAGATGTGTTCCAGGACATGATGATAAGATGCAATTTGAGTCTTCATTGTATGAAGGATACTTTCTAGCTTGTCAAAAAGAGAAAGACTTTTATAAACTTATTTTGAAGAAAAAGGATGAATTTGGAGATACATCTATAATGTTCACTGTCCAAAACAAAGACTAGACTATTAAAGTTCTACAATTGAAACTTTTTGAGTTTTGTGTTTCTGAAAGACTTAAAGCGTTTATAAGCCTTATAATGATGAAGTCCATTTTGTATTGTTATAACAAAATACCTGAGTCTGGAAAGTTATAAAGTTTTGTTTGTCTCATGATTCTAATGACTGGAGAGTCCAAACAGCGTGGTGCTGGTAGGGAGCCCTGGCTATGTCACAATATGGCAGAGAACTAGAATGGAACTAGACCTATGCTGTAGGGGTTAAGCACGTGGACTGGCCTCATTCTGTAAAAACCCACTCTTAGGCCAGAGATTTAGCTCAGTGGTTCCACCACTTGCTTCACAAGCACGTGGTCCCAAGTTCAACCCCCAGTACCAAAATAATAAAATAAAATAAAAACCCACTCTTGAAAGTCAAGTTGATCCAAACTTTCCAAGAGTGGGGCCCTCATGATCTAAACATTTTCCTTAGGATCTCAATTCTTAAAGGTTCCACCCCTTCAATATTGTTACACATGAACCTTTGAAAAAATAAATCCATATCCAAAGCAAGCCTGTAGTTGTAGTGGGTAAACAAAATTAATAATTGTCTCAAAACACATCATTAAAAAATGAGTAAGTGGGGCCTGGGGAGGTAGCTCAGTGGTAGAGTATTGCCTAGCATGTATAATACCTTAGATTCAGTTCCCATTATTGTAAAAGAAAAGGGGAGGCCTAGGGATTTAGCTCAGTGGTTCCACCACCTGTCTCACAAGTGCAAGGTCCTGAGTTCAATCCCCAGTACCAAAAAAAGAAAAAAGGAGGGGTTGAAATAAACAGGCTGGAGGTGCCACGATGGGTAGCATGGGTGAAGCCATAGTTTTGATCCCTAGCACTCAAAAAATAAATAAATAAATAGCTTTCACAAAATTTAATTATCCAAATGTGGAAAACATTTATATAATTTGTGAAAGGCACACAGTTGGAAAACACATTCTACATTGTAATTTGCACATACAATATACTCAGTAGAATGGCTTTGTGCTTTGGGTTATTGATCCTAATGATGTAAGATGTTGATAGTTGAATTCTATAGTTTTTAAGAATATCATTAAGTGGTAGTGCACTGGAAGCTGAGGCAGGAGAATCACTGAGTTCGAGGCCAGCCTGAACTGCACAGTGAGACCCTGTCTCAAAAAAACAAACAAACAAAGAATATCATTAAAACCATTGAACGTTTTATAAGGAACCCAATTTGCATGACTAGTTTCATTGGTTCCAAAGTCAGGATATCTCTACCAGTCTGTTTGATCCTGCCTCTGCCATGGCTCATTTCTTCGTGCACCATGTCTATGCTACACGCATGCTTGTTCTTCCCTTAATTACCTAAGAGCCCTCTTAGTTATCAGACTGACCATCAAGGTTTGGTGCTTTTGTTCAGGCAATCTTATTTTACTTAATAATGGTCCCAAAGTGCAACTGTGGAGATACTGGAAATTCAGATAAGCCAAAAGGAAACCATAACTGCTTTCTTAAGGTGAACAAGTAAAAGCTTTTTATGTGTTATGTGTATAGGAAAAAACACAGTATATGTGGGATTCAGTACTATGTAAGGTTTCAGGTATCCACTTGGGGTCTGGGAACATATCCCCCATGCATAAGGGGGAACTACTGTTCTTTCAAATAAATTTAGCAAAAGTCCAAGACTTGTGCACTGAAGATTTCAAGCCATTTTTAGAAAATTATCTGTGTACTCACTTCAGCAAGCACATATTCTAAAATTGGAAAATGATCTAAATAATTGGAGAGACAGTCCGTGTTCAATATTGGTAAAATGGCAGTTCTCCCAAAATTGATCTATAGGCTCAACTTGTGAAAGTTGAATGGGAGTTTGAACTAATCATAACAAGATCTTCATAAAATTCTTTAAAAGATAATCACACAGAAGTAGAATCAAATTAAACAATTTTATGTCCCTCTCTTTTAAATCGGCTAGAATCTGAAATCAGTCTTTATAACAAAGTTGTGTCTTACAAAAATAGATCTATAAGCTCTGTCCTGATAAAGTTGACATTCCTAAACTTTTTTTGTTGTTTTCTTTTGTTTTGTTTTGTTTTGGATTTTTTGCTTCTAACACAGGGTCTCACTATATAGTTCAGGCTGGCCTTGAACACCTGGCCCTAAACTTTTTATAATAAAATAAGAAGTGGTTCACAATAACATGAGGCCCAACAGACCAAATCGAATAGGCAAGGCAAGAAACTAAAAGGAAATGGGAGAAAAAGTAAAAAGAGTCAACAAAAGGACAATAACATGACAGGAATAAGTCAGAACGTATCAGTTATAACCATCAATGTTAATGGCCTCAATTCACCAATCAAGAGAAATAGATTTGTAGAATGCATTAAGAAGCAAAATCCAACAATATGTTGTATACAAGAAACACACCTAGTGCAAAAGGAAGTCCATAGACTGAAAGTGAAAGGATGGAAAACAATTCTCCATGCGTCAGGAGCCCAGAAAAAAGCAGGGGTAGCAATCTTATTCTCAGATAAAGTAAATTTCAAACCAAAACTCATTAAGAGAGACAAAGAAGGACACTACATCCTTGTAAAGGGAATAATTCAAGAGGAAGAGTTGACAATCATAAACATATATGCACCAAATATAAATGCCCCCAACTATATAAAATAAATATGAAGTAACATGAAAAACCAAATAAGCACTAATACAATTGTAGTGGGGGATTTAAATACCCCACTATCACAAATTGACAGATCATCTAGGCAGAAAATCAACAATGAAATAATAGAACTGAACCAAGCTTTGGAACACATGGACTTAATAGATGTTTATAAGCGTATTCCACCCCAAAAAATCAGAACATACATTCTTTTCGGCTGCACATGGATCATTCTCCAAAATAGACCACATACTGGCTCACAAAACAGGTCTAAATAAATGCAAAAAAATTGAAGTCATCCCCTGTTTATTATCAGATCATAGTGCAATCAAACTAGACATCAATAGCACAAGAAACTATAGAAACTTCACAAGCACATGGAAACTGAACAACACTCTCCTAAACAATCAATGGATTACAGAGGAAATTAAAGAAGAAATTAGACAGTTTTTACAAATAAATGAGAATGCCAATACAACATACAGGAATCTTTGGGACACAATGAAAGCAGTTCTACGTGGAAAATTCATAACATTGAATGCCCACACTAGGAAAACAGAGCGGGCTCAAATAAACAACTTAACGATGAAACTTAGACTCCTAGAAAAACAAGAGCAAGAAAAACCCAAAGCTCGAACAAGAGAGGAAATTATAAAGATCCGAGCAGAAATCAATGCAATTGAAATTAAGAAAACGATACAAAAAATAAATGAAACAAAGAGCTGGTTTTTTGAAAGAATAAATAAAATTGACAAACCCTTAGCTAATCTTATCAAAAAAAGGAAAGAAAAGGCTCAGATCCATGCAATTAGGAATGAAAAAGGCGAAGTCACAACAGATCCGAAAGAAATCCAGAGGATCATGAACACCTACTTTGAGAACCTGTACTCTAATAAAATGGAAAACACAGAAGAAATGGACAGATTTCTAGATACTTATGAATTACCAAAGTTGAACGAAGAAGATAAAAACATTTTAAACACCCCAATCACAATCAGTGAAATTGAAAATGTAATTAAAAACTTACCAACAAAGAAAAGCCCAGGCCCTGATGGATTCACTGCTGAATTTTACAAGACATTTAGAGAAGAACTACTACCATTACTCTTCAAACTTTTCAATGAAATTGAAAGAGAAGCTATACTTCCAAATTCATTCCTGGAAGCAAGTATCACTCTGATTCCCAAACCAGAGAAAGATACAACCAAAAAGGAGAACTACAGACCAATCTCCTTAATGAATATAGATGCAAAAATCCTTAATAAGATACTAGCAAACAGAATACAGAGGATTATTAAGAAGATCATCCATCATGACCAAGTCGGATTTATTCCAGAGATGCAAGGGTGGTTCAACATACGAAAGTCAGTGAATGTAATACATTATATTAACAAAGTCAAGGACAAAAACCATATGATCCTCTCAATAGATGCAGAAAAAGCATTTGATAAAATTCAACACCCATTCATGATAAAAACCCTGCAAAAAATTGGAATAGATGGTCTATACCTCAATTTAATAAAGGCTATTTATGAAAAACCATCAGCCAACATCATATTGAATGGCCAAAAACTGAAAACCTTCATGTTAAAATCAGGAACAAGACAAGGATGCCCACTATCGCCACTTCTCTTCAATATAGTTCTGGAAACATTAGCCACAGCAATTAGACAAGAGAAAGAAATTAAAGCAATAAAGATAGGAAAGGAAGAAGTTAAACTATCATTATTTGCTGATGATATGATACTCTACATTGAAGATCCAAAAAACTCCACCAAAAAACTTCTAGACTTAATTGACAGATTCAGTAAAGTATCTGGATACAAGGTGAATACCCAAAAATCAATAGCCTTTCTATACACAAATAACAGACAGACAGAAAGAGAAATAAGGGAAAAAATTCCTTTTACAATAGCATCCAAAAAAATGAAGTATCTAGGAATCAATCTAACAAAAGAAACAAAAGATCTCTACACTGAAAACTACAGCACTCTGAAAAAAGAAATCGAAGAGGATATAAAAAAATGGAAAGATATCCCCTGCTCCTGGGTAGGAAGAATCAACATAGTGAAAATGGCCATACTACCGAAACTGCTATATACATTCAATGCAATGCCAATTGAAATTCCAACACTATATTTCACAGAACTAGAAAAAAGAATCCAAAAATTCATTTGGAACCACAAGAGACCTAGAATAGCAAAAGCCATTATAGGCAACAGTCACATGGCACCAGGTGTAACAATTCCCAATTTGAAACTATACTACAAAGCCACTGTGATAAAATCAGCATGGTACTGGCAAAGAAATAGGCCTGAGGATCAATGGAACAGACTGGAAGACA